AAAAAAAAAAAAAAAAAAATAAAAAAAAAAAAAAAAAAAAAAAGCTTCAACTTGTCTTCCATAATAAAATGGAAATAAAACCCATTTGCTTAAAAATCTTTTGCCACTTGGTACCTCCCTCCATTATATATATATAATTTATTTATTTATTTATTTTAAATAAACAAAAAAACAATAGGTTTAAATTGGAAATAGTAATAAATTTCTATATATTATATTTGTGGTTCAAAAATTGAATAAAATTAAAAATAATTAAATAAATTTTATAGAATATATGGGATAAGTAATAATAAAAGAGAATAATTATTAAGAGAGAATAATTAAGTAGAAATTATATAAAATAAAATGGGCATTGACTTTTGGTAAAACACAAATGAAATCTTTTAGGTTCTGAATTTTATATTTAACAGAAAAAAAAACTTTTAGAAAGCAATATATAATTAAACATTAATGCCAAGAATTTTCTTCTCTTTTATTTATTTATTTATTTATATTTTATAAGAAGAATCTTATTCACTTAATAAAATAAAAACCCATTATTATATTTTTTTTTCTCTAAGAAATTTTGAATTTTCCCAAACGAAAAACAAATTAAAAATAATAAAGAAAGAAAGAAAGTTAAACAATATGGAAATTTCATTTTAGCTATAATTTTTATAGAATAATTTCTAAGAAACTTTTCCGTAATATTTTTCTTTATATTTTATTATAATCTCTCTCTCACTATGTTTTTTTAATAATAATAATAATAAAAAATCATTCATCCACTTGGACGAGTGATTATTATTTATATGACTAATAATATCGAAAATGAAATCCATCACTATTATCTATGAATAATAAATAAAATTAAAGTTATATATTCTCGAAAAATTAGCCAACATTAAAAAAAATAATGTCCATTTTTTTAATATAACACAGGTCAGGTATGAAGATTTAAACTTTTAACCTCAATGGTAAAGAAATGTCAGTTTTACTATTGAGCTATGTTCGTGTTGACAAATAATACTTCATTTTAGAAACATAAAGACATTCCATTGCAAGTATTTACTCGAGTAGAATTGAACTTTTGGTCGTCCATCGTATGCAATGATCCCTAAAAAAAAGAAAGGAAAGGTAATTTCCTAAATGAGGGGAAACTAATGATGTTGTTTAGAGAGTTGTAAGTATGACGAGAATCCAAAGAAAAGAATATATATATATATATCCCAAATGAGCAAATGAAAAGATGGGTGTGGTGTGGTTCCACTCAATTTCCTATGAAATTTCTCATCACCCATCAACTTTCAATCCTTTCTAACTTTTTCTCATTACTATCATATTTCAACACGTTATCTTCGAATACTAATCGGGTCTATGTATTTTCGATATAGATTTCTTTTAATTCGTCTACTTTCAGCTTTAGAGCGTTTTTGATCTAATCATTTGATTCTTATGTGCAAAATTTAACATAAATTTTATAGTCTGTTCATAGAAATACATGTTTATGATATCCCACATCTGTTGTAGAGGAAAACGAAACATTACTCACAAGGGTGTAACAACCTCTCTCTAGTAGATGTGTTTTAAAATCATGAGACTAACAGTAATACGTAATGAGCCAAAATGGACAATATCGGCTAATGGTAGACTTACTATTACAAATAGTATTAGAGTCAGACACAAAGCGTTGTGACAGCGATACGCAAGACCCCATAAGGGGTTCTAAGGAGTGAATTGTGAGATCTCGGGTCTATTTTTTTTTTTTTGGTAAGTTAGTGTGAGAATCCGAGAGAGAGAGAGAGAGAGAGAGAGAGAGAGAAATGATAGATTATTTTAATATGGTTAAACCCAAGTTGGGGAAAGGAAAAAAGTTGTAAATAAATGGCATCCAATCACCCTCTTCTGTTATGCATCCATTATTTTGTCTATAACCCACCTCTCTTCTCCTCTCATCTTCATCATATAAACCACACCAATTTATCACTTATTTTGCTGCTCTCCCATTTCTCTCCTCCTCTACACTTTGTTTTTTTTTTTCAACTTTTTTTAGGGTTTTCATCATAGTAAGAGGCAAAAGATTTCAAGTGTGGGTGAAAAAACATGGGCAGAAAGTGCTCACATTGTGGCAACATAGGTCACAATTCAAGGACTTGCACCAACTTTAGACCCTCAATCACACCCAATTTCAACGTTGGAAGCGGCTTAATTAGGCTCTTTGGAGTTCATCTTGATTCTTCTTCTTCCTCTTCTTCTTCCTCTTCTTCTTCCTCTTCTACTACTTCTTCTTCAAGTGCTGCTGCTTTCGCCATTAAGAAAAGCTTTAGCACCGATTGCTTGTCGTCGTCCTCGTCGTCCTCGTCTTTCTCTACTTCTCGAATTCAAATCGATCATAATCTTGAACCTTCTAAGCCCACCAATGGCTATCTCTCTGATGGCCTTCTCAATGGAGACCAAGAAAGGAAGAAAGGTAAGGTTTTTATCATTTGGGTCTCTTCAAAATTCAATCTTTTTGTGTTTTCTTTGGTCAAGTTTTGATTTTTATCCTCTTTCCTTTCTGGGTTTTCAATGTTTTGAAGATTTGAGGCTTTTTTTTACTTGGGTTTTTGGTGGTTGATTGATCATATCCTTAATTTTAAGCTTAATAATCATATTTTTTGGGATGAACTGTTCTTAGGGGTTCCATGGACAGAAGAGGAGCACAGAATATTCCTAATTGGGCTTGAAAAGCTTGGAAGAGGAGATTGGAGAGGCATCTCGAGAAACTACGTCACAACGAAAACTCCGACCCAAGTGGCTAGTCACGCTCAAAAGTATTTTCTTAGACAATCGACCGTCAACAAAAAGAACCGTCGCTCGAGCCTCTTCGACATGGTATTCTTCATTTCATTTGGATAGGTATTTTTTCTCATAATCTATACCAAAAATTACACAATTTAGATTTGGTTTGTGTGTTGGAATACAGGTTGGGACAGCATATGATACAACAACGACAGCACTGTCTCAATGTTTGAAGATATCTTCAAATTCTCAAACTCATAGCAATAAGAATGAGATGAATATCAAGAAGGAGCTGAATTTGCCTCTTTTAGAGAGTAAAATCACCACTACTTTTGCAAGCTCCCAACAATTGGGTTCTTCCATGGAAGTGATGAACAACAATAATCAAGCTTCTTCTTCTTCATCATCAATTTGGCTTTATGGGTTGATTGATTCACAGCTCAAATCAGCTTCTCAAACCATGATTTGTTCTTCATCTTCTGGAGCAGGTGGGCCAGATCTTGAGCTCACTTTGGCAGCCCCAAGAGCTTCCAATTTGGAGTATGAACAAACCAAAAAGGCATCAACTGGTTCCCTCCTTGTTGACCCAATCAGGGTTCCCTAATCACTAATCAAACCCATCCCCAAAAATTCAATATCCAGCAAGAAATAACACAAAGACATATTGTTCTTCATGATTACAGTGTTTAATTTGGTTGTTTTATGAGCAGCTACCTTACTGAAAGTGACAAATTTATATATATATTATTCGTCTTAATTTGTTTAGCTATAGCCTATGCTCGAGAAGAAGCACAAAGGTTGTAAAATGGCTCTTTAATGTCCTAATCCGTTTAGCTATGCTTGAAAAGAAGCACAAAGTTTGTAAAATGACTCTTTAATGTCTTAATCCGTTGAGCTATACTCGAAAAGAAGCACAAAGGTTGTAAAATGGTCTCTTTAATGTCTTAATCCGTTAAGCTATGCTCGAGAAGAAGCACAAAGTTTGTAAAATGGCCTCTTTAATGTCTTAATCCGTTTAGCTATGCTCGAAAAGAAGCACAAAGCTTGTAAAATGCCTCTTTAATGTCTTGATCTGTTGAGCTATGTTCGAGAAGAAGCACGAAGTTTATAAACCGTTCATTTGATCGACCATATTAATTATATTATCTTAAATAAATGAAGTTTGTGACAAAAAAAAATGAAAAATGAAAATGAAGTGAGGGATTTTGGCATCTTTCTCAGCAGCTTCATAATTGTAGGAAACTGTCAACTTCATTCATAGCCCTCTCCTTTTTACAGACTTTAGGGGGAAAAGAAATTGAAACTTAGGGTTTCTTTTTAAATAATTTAAGTCATTTCAATTGTACCAATGCTCTATACTCTTGTGTATATTGGTCAGCTGCTGATGCTAATGGAGACAACTGTGGAAAAGAACCCTACTGGCTCAGAATAAAGTTTCTTAAAAAGCTCCCCTTTCTCTCTCCTCTCTCTCTCTCTCCTCTTTCCTTTTGGCTTAAAAAGATCAATTATAGAATAATAATGATTTTTGGGTCTTTTTTAAAATAGAAACAAAATTCATGGCTGCTCAGAAGAAGAATCTGGCTGTTTGATAATTGGAATGGCTATTAGTGAGACAATTATTATCATCTTAGTATAAATTCATCAACTTTTCTTAGGTTTCAATTGTTCTTTCTCATTTTATGATCAAAATAAATACTATTCAACTAATTTGAGTTACACCCAAGTCATATAATCGACAGAGATTCAAGAAAATGTCGAAGTTTTTATCGAGAAGTGAAGTCGATATCTAAGACGTCATCGATAAACTGAGAAGTTAAATCGTTTGGACCATACTAAATTTAATCATTTAATGCATATCGGGCGCAAAACGATTCGGGGTATCAAATTGGGCAAAAACCATGAATTTTCATTATCCAAAGTTTTCAATTAATAATTCACATGGGGGAAAGAAATCTTCAGTGTTACACTTTCAATCAATGAATTTGGCCCACAAATGTCCAAACTCTACCCCATAATTAATATCAATTTTCAGAGCTCATACTCATGATTACAAAAAGAATTATTGAAGGTAGCCCTAACCATAGTAACACTCCAAATAAATGGCTTTCCAAATGAACAAAAATTGACCAGACGGCAAGAAAAATCAGACAAAAGGGTCAGAAACAAAGGGTTAAAGGGATTGACGTCTGGAAGAACAAGAAGAAGAGGAGAGATTGATTGAAACTTGTGAAGACATTGAGAGAGCAAATAGATATTATCCCTTTTGGTTTCTCTAAAGATTGAATGATATAAGAATTTGCAGGTTCAAAACACCCATCATGGAATGAAGTAGATGGAGACAATTAATAATAGGGGATTTGTTTTTTTATTTCATGTGGGACAAAACAAAATCTTGGCTCTCTTTTTGGCATACAAAACAACTCAACATGTGGAAAGATTTAGAGGAATCTAAGGATGAGTAAATTGAGTGAATGAAAAGCTGACACATCTCCCAGCATTTTCCCTGTCCTTTGTTGTTTCCTGATAGAAAATAAATTTAAAAAAAAAAAAAAAAAAAAAAATTGAAGCTCGAAAACCCCAATATCTTAGCAGAATAGAGAATTCTAGAGATCTCTCCAAAGAAACAGCTTAAGTGAGGAAAAGGGTGGGGAAAGGGACCTCTTCTTGGCATTCCCATTTGCAGATAAACCCACATGAATGTAATAATACAAGCTGAAATGGTGTCTCCATAGGCATAGAATAGGATAGATGGATATTAGAACAGCCAATGAATGGGAATCAATCGAAATGTAGATAAGGTTTTTGGTATCCAAGCAAACACTGAATAACCAGATAGGATAAATAGTACTCAATGCTCTATTTGAATAGTTGTTTTCTTACCACAATTTTTCAACCATGTCTGGAAAATGACATTGCTGTACACTTGAAATTACCATGTACCTGTATACCAAGATAGCTTGATTATTGTAAAGTTAGTACCGAAAGGAAAGGACAATAATTGAATTTAAAGGATAACAAAGGTTCAATGAATTATCACAGACAGACTTATAATAGGAAAGGTCCTAAGAGTACTGACGAGACTTGTTATCTAAAGGTCCAAGTCTAACGCCAGTAGATATTGTCCTCTTTTGACTTTTCTTTTTGAGCTTTTCATCAAGGTTTTTAAAACGCGTCTGCTAAAGAGAGACTTCCACACTCATACAAAGAATGTTTTGTACCCCTCTCAAACCGATATGAGATCTCACAATCTATCCTCCTTTGGGGCCCAGCGTCCTTGCTGGCACACTGCCTCGTGTTCACCCCCTTTGGGACTTAGCCTACTCGCTAGCACATCACTCGATGTCTGGCTCTAATATCATTTGTAACAGTCCAAGCTCACTACTAACAGATATTTTCCCTTTTAGGCTTGTGAGATCTCACATCGATTGGAGATGGAAACAGAGCATTCTTTATAAAGACGTGGAAATATTTTCCTAGTAGACGCATTTTAATAACTTTGAAGGATAGGCTTGTGAGATCTCACATCGATTGGAGATGGAAACAGAGCATTCTTTATAAAGACGTGGAAACATTTTCCTAGTAGACGCATTTTAATAACTTTGAAGGACAGTCCATAAGGGAAGGCAAATAATATTTGCTAACGATAAGCTTGAAACATTGCCTATTACATTTCAATCAATCAAAAACAATGTACACAAACAGGGAAAATGATTTTTCTTTGATATCAAAGAATCACAAGCCTAGGGATTGTACCATGTACCACCATCATTATGCTGAAAGAAACACAAAAAGCATAGGGATTCGCAAGTATTTTGGATTTTTGAGAAACTTACTGGGATCCAGGTACAAGTTCTCTCCTGCTAACAGAAAATACAAAAAAGTTTCTGCAACATTTATAATCACTTTTAGAGCACAGTGACTTTTCAACCGTCCCAAGATGTCCTCTTTACTACCTGCAGTATCCATCACTGAGTTGTCAACATTATTGTTTTGATAGTATTGGGACAACCAGCAAGCAAATAACTCACATAAACTTTGTGTGGAGGACAAAGCCTTTGTTCTAATCAAACAGGCCTGGTTTTATCTTCTTTCTCTTGTTGTGCATTACACAATACCTGTCACTGTCCTCCAAATCGCCATCAGAACCTTGTAGAAACTCTCTGTTTAATTTCTATTTCTGTCTGACATGTTCTGTCATGATGTTATTAATACAAAAATGAAACCTCACAATTGAACCTGCAACTAGCTAGGAGAGGATTGAAGAGATTGGAGGATGCTTTGTGAAGGAACCGTAATTGTTGTGGTAAAGATGCACAGAATATGAACATCAATCAAGCCTTTTAATCTCGAAAAGAATGGATTAAAGAGAAAAAGAATGGGGAAAGATAAGCTATGGAAGCATTCTGCAGAGAATTAGCTATGGAAATGATGCATTTTGTTGGGGTAGGAGGGACCAGTGGAGGACCTCAAATGTCGAGTAAACATCATTCACTTTTGAATGATGTTGATCTTTCAATGAAAAGAAGGGACGTGAAGCTTTTTTCATGGCTTAAAAAGCATCTCCTGCTTTTTAAGATGGCATTGTATATGGCCAAGTTACCTGAACAGCAGTAGTGATATCATTTTTATGATCTCACAATGGCAAAATTTATTCTCTAGCTTAAAAAGAACACATTGTTTGCTGCAAAAGGTGACCTCATAGTTTAGTAAGTAACCTATCATGGACTGGAAAGAGCTTTTACTGAACTTACCAAACGTCTTCCTTCATGTCTTAATTCTCTGTCAGTTGTTATTAATCGCTTTACTGCCACCTGCCTGAAAGAGATCCATTTCTCCTAATGAGAGATCCCTTCCTCTCCAGGTCCAGCAAGCAACTAATAACAAGGAACGCAGAGGAGTGAATTTCATTCTCACTTTGGTTATGAATTTCAATGATATTGGAAACCTTCAACGATTGGGAATGCAGAGGTAATACCTTGCAAGTCATCGAGGCAGTCAAATCTTGTACATCATCTGGGCCTCTGTGAACTGAAAATGGCCTCTGGATACACTAAATTTTTTTGGAAATACATTACTTTTCAGGTTGATGGAACAAATGTGACTCAATTTGTAAAAAGAACATATATAATGAAATGAATGGCGTTAACAAATGGAAGTTATTTTACAATGAACAGGCCACCTATATTAATAACATTAAGGCCTGGATCAAAACTTGGAGTTCAGTGAATGGGATGATTTTGAGAATCGTATACGCACTACTCTGGTTCTCCCTCCCAATTGAACTATTTCGATGTGATCTTGCCTTGGCCGGAGTTTCACGTAGAAATTTGCCATCTTCAGGTCCACAATAGTAAAAAACTGAGAGCCCAATTAATAACCTTTCACTCTTCTGCACGTGTTCTCTATTTCACAAGAAACCCTTCGGTCAAAATGTGGTTACCTCCTGCTTTTTCTTTGATATGGTATGCATAATATCATGAAAAATGAGAGCCTTGAACCACCAAAGTAATGCGTTTAGCACCATCTGTTCGAAGGCCGTCTCCTTTGAATCCAATCTGGTAGGATAAATCATGCACGTTACCTCAGCAACAGTATCCAACAAGAACTGAGAGGTGATTACTAGAGGCTGAAGATTACCTCACTCAAACCATCAGGTGAGAACCACCGCAACAATACTCCAATACGCACCACAGCAGGAATAAGCTTGAAAAGCAATGGGGTAGTCACCTACACAATTGGTTTTATTAACACACAATTACCGTATAGTTAGATCATATAAAAACAACTTTCTGTGCGAAGTATCTCAATGTCTCATTGGAATAGATCACAACAGACCACACATTAATAACGCTTTTCATTTGATTTGCAACATAACAACTTTTTTGTTTGGAAACTTTGATAAATTATTTCGTCTGAGTTAGCATATCAGTTAGGAATGAGTTCCGCAATGCCCCAGAGAGAGTAGAATAGGGAAAGTTCAATCACATTGTAGGATGCACATTAGACACTAGATGTTAGGGGACTTCAAGAAAATGCAATAAAAATTTAACTCACCAGACTAAGTGCAGTTGTACCAAGCAGCAGTATATACAATTTTCCCTGAAATTTTTTTACATGAGAAAAAAAATATTTAAAAAATACATAAAAACAAAGTAAAAATACATCAAATTTTTTAATGAACAAAGAGTAGACAAATATTATAAATATGAGAGATAGAATGAATTCTCGAGAAATAAGACTTATTGTGGCTTTTGAAGGAAGACACACATTCAAGGCTCACACCTATATAAAAGACAACAATGAAGTCGAGATCTCCATCACCTAAAACCATAAACTATAAAATAACTTAATTTTGTAGATGTTCAAATACCAATATTGGAATGTTTGAAATCAAAACTTCAGTTATAATTGAGAATATAATAACGGAGCCCAAAATAATCGTACATTTTGTTTATATAAAATACCAACTTTCGTTGAGAAAAAAAAAACGAAGAATACAAAGGTGCATAAAAAAAAACAATGCCCACAAAAGGGATCAACCCTAAAGACGGAATTGCATATTTAAACTTACTATGGTTTTTAAAATAAAACAAACTTTTTTTTTCCTTAAATATTCCATTGGACCAGATAAATGAACCCATAACCTCAAAAGTTGCAGCTGTTAGAAGAAAGTCCAGTCAATTCTTATAAATCACCTAGGAGCAAGATCACAAGCACATTTGCCAAGCCTGCTGTATTCAGACCAGTCTTTCATAGATACTTCTAACAAACCAAATAGGATTCATTTATAAAGCATGATCTGCATCATTCCCCCACAAAGAACCACCATCGCCCTCTAATTTCAGCACCCCAAGGGAAGTAGAATATGGGAGCTTCAACTCCCATACTTGATACGACCATGTTAAGGCACCACTGAGTTACATCCCTCCCCTTGCAAGAAATAGTATCGACTAATTCTAAGGCAACGCGCCCTTTATACCATTTGCAACTTGTTTCAGTTGCTCATAAGGAGATGAGTTTTCATACGTTTGGCTGTTTGGGCACATAAACATGGAAAAGTAATCCACACTTGAAAATTAGCAGATACGGTAATTCTCAATGCAATCATACCACGTAAAACAGAAGTCAGTGTAAACATTAGAAAACAAAGTGGAAATTTATATTTTGAGTTTGGAGACCGCTCTTATCAACACCAACAAATTATGAGCCTCAATCAAAGACAAGCATAAAATTCATGTACCAACCTCAACAAGATGAAGATTAGAGGCACGGCTTAGAAGGACAAAAGCAAATTCCCCAATTTGTGCGAGTGACATCCCGACCTATAAGATGAAACTACTTATGGTCTCCTTCAAATACCTAAATAAAAAAGAAGTCATTTCATTGTGAAGAAGCAGATTTGTTAGAATACATCTCACCAGAAGTGAAGTTTTGTTGGTGTATCCAAATCCCTTCACAACAGCAGTAACCACTACAGTTTTTATAACAATGACCAATATCACAGCCGCAAGTAAGATATCAATGTGGTTCCATAGGAAATGAACATGAATTAGCATCCCAATGCTGGCAAGAAAAAGAGCAGCAAAGAAGTTGCGAATGGGCTCAACCTAGTAATCAAGCCAATCAATAGAAGGTATTAAAAATTCCGAGCCAGCTAAAACAGATTCAGCAAAGATAAATGACAATATTAAATAAATAGTATAGTACTTGCTATAGACCCTAGTTTGAAGCTGATGAGAAATTTAATTGTCAACATCTCGTTTATCTGTGACCAGAAATTATGTTACAGAAATTCATTACATGTGGAATGTAAGCTGAGATTCATTGTTGAGCAAGAATCTAGATCATAAGTTCTATGATGCATGATTTTAATACGACTGGATCATGAGATTTATCTGTAAGCTTGATGCCTGACCCCCAAAGGATCATAAGTTTTATGCTGCAGGTTCTCATTACATCAGGAACAGATGGATTTATCAGAAAGCTTGATGCGCAACCCCCAAAAAATCATATACTTCAAGAGAGATTGTAAGTTCTATGTTGGAGGATTTCATTACATCTGGAACATGAGAATTATCAATAAGCTTAACCATCGCTGCCCTCTCCCCAAAAATATACTTAAGCTAGATCATAAATTTACTATTTTGAAACCTACAGTATTATCCGAGTACCCAGATGCCTGTACAAATTCTCATTTCCTATCGGAAAGAACATATATATCTATAATAATCTAGCCATAATATTTGTAGACCTTTTTCCACGTCAAGCATTTTAGTAGCATGATTTCAGACCTGAAAGCTTACTAGAGTTTTCGAAAGCTTCAAAAAGTTTATATCATCACACCCGCAGCAAAGGAACCTAATTCAAGTCTGTGCTGAGCAAGTTTATATCATATTTACCTGCTCAAGTGTGTGCTGAGCAAGTTTATATCATATTTACCTGCTCAAGTGTGTGCTGAGCAAGATCCGTAGTTGATATCATCACACCCGCAGCAAAGGAACCTAATTCAAGGCTTAACCCAAGTTTATCACTGCACTGCATAGGTGGTTATATAAATGAATCAGCATTGCTCTTATATACACACACAAAAAGCACTGGTAGATGCTAAATGCTTTAGATAGACCATCCTCAACAACTTTATTCTCGACTGTAATACCCTATTGGCTTTAATAAAAAAAAGGATAAGGCAAATGGATAAGAACCATTTTTCCATGTCCTACTTTTCATAATAGAATATGTAATTCTGAAAGAGGAAAAAGTCCACAGCCAGAAAACTGAAGTTCTTCACCATTTCAATGTCCACCAAATGATACTAAAAACATGTATTGGTTCTAGAATTAAGCATTAGGAAGTAACACTAACCCAAGCTACAAGTAAGCAGAATGCAACAGCCGCCAATTGATAGAGTTCATTAGTCTGCATGGAAAAGATTTTGCTCAGAACATGAAGCAATAGTAGTAGCAGCCAAAGAAAATGTTGCCCTTACCTGAGATGACAGGCTAATCATAAGTTTAAGGAACCTCGGAACACATGTGCGAGATAATATTGTCAAAGTAATCAAAAACGTAATCAAGACCACCAACCTGGAAAATAAAGAAAATGGATGGGAAGTACTAGTTTTAGTTGAATAACTCAAAAGGCAAATTTTCCCAGTTGGCTATTAATCAACTAGAAAATTGGATGAAAAGAGAAGCCTGGATTAGTAGTCTATGCACCAACTATGCTATATTTTCAGATCTAAGTGTCATTATGCTGGAAGAGAAATTTTTGGTGACGATAGGTACTTGACTTATTTGACCAAAAGCCTCATAAATAAAAATGCTTGTGCGCACATACAGACAGCAGCAATTCTTACGACTTAGTCATGGACAGAACTCCTTGAAGAACACCAGAAGTACCACCAAGAATCGGAAGCAGGGCAAACAGCAAGCCTACAGCACAATCCTGGTGGTGCATAGTGAACCAAAAAAACTCTTATCAACATATAGCTAGTCATCCATTGGTATTTATTAAAAACACACACATGCACCCCTAGACCAAAACTTCTAGTACAGCCAAACAAGTCATCACTAATTAGTAAAATGAAAAAGTATTGGAAGAGAAATCGATTGTATACCTGAAGAATAAGCGTACCAATGGTCACCTGACCATGAATGGCATTGACGCTATTTCGTTCCATTAAAAATTTCAAGACCTATATCAGATAATATCGTGGAAGCACCCAAATTTAATACAGATAATCCATAAAGGGCTTATTAATGCTGAGGAAAGAGCAATAAATTCTATTTCTAAAATATATATATACACACACTTATCCAACAGTCAGTTCCTTGACAATAACTATTTAACATGACCAAAAGCTTGACAAGAGAGGAGTGTAAGAAGAATGAGACAAAGTAACTAGAAGCTGTTTATGTTTTCAAAGAGAGAAAAAAAAACTCTGA